CGAAATTATACCCTTAATAGTCAAAAGAGCCTTCAAAGAACATAATAACATGCAAAAAATACAACAATAGCAGCTGAAAGAAAGAAAGAGCATATTTTATTACCAAACTTATTCCGTATTCAGTTCTGCCGAAGGGGCAGTGTTGCAACCGGCATAAATTTGACATGACAGGATTCCGGTCTTGTCGAATGTCACGCCTGCCGTATGCCAACTACCTACAGTATTGTACGTTCCACTTACTCGTACTTTGGAGACACTACGAGCACGTTTCTATGTTAATAGCGAAGAATCACACCGCGGGAAATCGTTTTCTAAATCTGATCAATAAGCAAAAATACACGGTGTCAAAGTTTGAATTCGATAAGATTAATTAAAATCTCTTGGGTTAAATTTTGATATTAACAAAATGTTGGCTAAGTTAAATACAGATACAGAGAAGTTACTAATTCATCTAAGTATTTATGGATTTTCATGCCGTGAAATTTTCTTCATACTGATAAAATCCATTATGCTCTTTCTTTATTCTTAAATGGACCAAAAAGAAAGAAGAAATTATCTTCAGTTATAATTTTAGCCGTATAGTGAATCGTATGAGTAATCAGAATCAGCCACTTGACAAACAAAAATTATTTCGGGAACACGTTTGAAATGCCTTTCCTGTCCTAACCACCGACCTGGCTTGCAAATGAAATGATTGCAATCTGAACTTTATTACTGCTGTCCAGAGTATATTTATTGTCTAATTCGATTCTGACTGCAACCCGGTTAGCAAATGGCTCGGCCGTTGAAATTAGCGCATTATTTATATAACTGGCCACCCCCACATCGGCAGGTATCCGTACTGTTGCCGTTCCCTCTGGTCTAAATACTTCCGACACAGGTACGGTCGGATAAGAAAGTAGTTTCGATTTTGATTCAGTTTCCGAGATTTTGAATCGATTTCAATTAAGTAATTTTTTGTAATCGTAGTTTAAAGCACGGTAATACTATCTATACAGTATTCCAACTCGGCCATATTTTTGAAATAAATGTCAACAGCCGAGCGGTACGTCACCCTATGACAACATGCGATAGGGCTGCCCACCTGCAGACCCTATTTTCACTACATCTGCCTACTTAGAATTTCTATCTAGTTTTGTGAGTGTATTTGTGATTGTAATTTTTTATTTTATTTTGACAAACAAAATACTTTGTGAATGAAGTAGGATAAAATGCATGTTGTCTTGTCATTAGTAGATGTACCTATTAACTAAAAAAAAATTGTGTCAAGATTTAGTAACAAATCTTATAAATTTGCGACCGTAAAATGTATGCTCCTCGACCGAGGCGTACAAAATGCTTGATTTACAGTGTTGGGTAAATGGGTTTATAAGCAGACACTAGCCCATGTTAACGTGTGCATATAAATGGTATGGTGAAGTCAGAAATTTTATATCAGCATTTTAATCATTTTAATTTTCATACAAATCTGATTTTATAAATTTTATTTTGTATGAAAATTAAAAAAAAATATGATATCACTGACTAAATAATGTTAATATGGGCTAGTGTCGGCTTATAAGCCCATTTACCTAACACACTGTATAATTAGGTACTTGTAATTATTTTTTATAAAAACAACACTTACTGTTTACAAAACAACACATCTTCAGTTTATTACTGTGGCACATTCGCGACACCCCCGACTTTTGCATGTCGAGCGCATACCGAGATTTGAATTTCGAAGAAAAGCTCGCGTTTCGTCCGTTTATATGAAGTTACAATACTGTATGATAGTATTACCGTGTTTAAAGTGACAAACGTAAGAATACACGTGCGATAGTCTATGTTGTTTGAAACGAAGGAATGACAATCAACCCTAACACAAATGAACCAAAATTTTGAACCGATTCCGATTCCGTTTAAAATACGTCTTTAGGTCAGGCTTACTATTTTTAAGGCGTTGGACGTGATCTAGTTCCAAATACAGTTCTAAAATAACTAATATTGATTTTCTTGAGTAGGTACATTGTTGCTAGTGCTATCAACACCTGTTCTTGGGTATACCACAATCAAACGAATTTCGAGTTNTTGCAAAATTCCCACGGGAACGGGAGTTAACGGGAAAAAACATTTGTATGAAAAAATCTAAACCGCGTAATATAGATGAGGGGGGTAAAACGGGATCCACGCGTACGAAGTCGCGGGCGGCCGCTAGTTTCTCATATAATTGGTGGGTAATATAATTGGATGGTTTCACTATCAAATTAATTTAACATGCGTTAAGATTTGAATCAATTAAGTAGCAGAACAGAAGCGAAAAATATGGTCATTGGCTTTTATTGCTTGTACAGTAAAGCAAATTTACAAATCAGACTACGGTTTTTACTGTTGATTCTGACAAAGCAGTTTACATTTCGTTTGCAAGCTAAGCGAGGGGAGCCGGCGGCAGGTTGCTTGGATACAATTTGTTGTACCTTTTATTTCCCTTTATTATTGAGCTTTGAAGCTAGCGTGCAATTGTCTTTTTTATTTCATGCTCTGCTACTTTAATTAATTATTGATCGGACTTTGTTTTCCATAAAACGTTAAGTTTTCTATTCCATTTCAGTTGTCTGAAAATAATGTTTCTTATTATACCAAATGGTTTCTTGCAATCGTGATTATTTATCTTCAACTAAATCATTTACTCACTCTCTCAAAAATATCCTTTAGAAACCTTTACCATAGCGATCGTTGGTATTTTCTCAAGTGTGAATTTTCGTTCATAAAGTTCATTTCTTATCAAGTGCCCACATGCATGCTCTAAGTAACATCTCAGGAAGGCGCGCATCTTCAGGACATTGCACTGTCTTATCTACTCCTGCGCTGGAGATATCACGTAATTTGTTGTTTATTTCTTCAGGACAAGCCTAATGGTCAACAGGATATGATATTATTATCACTAGACGACAGCTCAAAGATATACCACCATCTATGTTTACACAGGACGTAATTGGTCATCGACTTGTAGCGTAAATATTGTGACAAACATAAGTAGCTATACTTATTAGCTTAAACAAATATCGAGAATTCGAGCAAAGGAATTCATATAACATATTTCATAGGATTGTCATCGTTTAATTTTATGGCCTCTGATTATGCCATCAAACCATCTAAAACGCGAGTTTTCAAACTGACTTTACCAAAGCGGGTATTATGGCTAAATAAATTTCAATAGTAATGGCGTCAAAACACAGCCTTGATACGAATAGTTGGACGGATTTGGAAGATTGCAGTTTCATTTCAATAAAGTTAAGGTGTACGGAAATGATCAGGCTTTATTTATGGGTAGGCTATAAACGGCCCGAGTCTATCAATATTGTCTGGGAGGTGATGCTTCATAATTTCCTATCTGAGGAAGGCAATCGGCGGGACGACAGCATTTTAATTAATTTGAAAGAGCCGATCGCTGGAGGACGGTAATGAATTCATAGAGACGACGGTTCGTAGAATCAGATTAATATGGACGATTTTAGTATGCAAGTTTCGTGTCATTAATCTTGTTCAGATTAGAAGAGTTGAAGTGTATTACGTGTTACATGCAAATGGATAATTGGATCGGATGAATCATTATCTAAATATATAAAAGAAGAAGAAGAAAGAAACTGACTGACTGACTGACAGATCAACGCACAGCCTAAACGGCTAAACGTAGGCACTTGAAATTTGGAAGGGACGTAGCTTAGGTACCGTAGAGGTGCACTAAGAAAGGAATTCCCGAAATTCCCACGGGAACGGGAATTAGCGGGAAAAACGGGATTCACGCGTACGAAGTCGCGGGCGGCCGCTAGTTATTTTATAAAACACTACTAATACACTAACATATTAATATAAAGATAAGTTTTATGTTATTTTCTTTTACTTTTTAAACCAGAATGAAGAAATTATAATATGAATGTGCGCATAAGAGAAACATTGAATAATATGGAAAATGTCGGGTTCATTAACCCATTTCTTTATCATATTGTATCAATTCAATAGTCGATTCTCACGTGAGCATGAAAATCTGTGATGCGGTAATAGTGTATAATCCGTTCAATGAATAAATTAGTCTAATCACGTGTTAAGATGCGTGATCAATTTTGCATGCTTTTGGATTCGAGTTACCAAGTCTGTTCCTGGTTAGATGATGATTTTTTCGTGAAACAATCTAAAAACTTGTGATTTCATGGAAGTTTAAATGGCAAAATGGTGAACATAAAACAATGAAACTAAGAAGGCTATCTAGACATTATTTGAATCTTTAATTCCTGACAAGAATTTATCGAAAATAATAATAATGATCAGACAACCAGCACATTATAGTTTTAACTGTAGAATGTTACTAGTTACAATAAATGCTATTTTGCAGTAAATATTGTAAATATTCTGATGTGCTGCCCTGTTCATTGTAGAATAAATAAATATTGCTTGTATCCATACAAAATGGGTTACTGTCTGTGGGTTACTCGATATCCCATTTCGTTTTAACATTTTCAACGACAACATAAAAACTTAAAAGACACCAATCGTCAATATGCTTTTATCTCCATCTTGATGGTGCTAGATCCTGCTGTCATATCTCGGTGACGGTCCCAGATACTGGCTCGGAAAAAAGTAAAAAATAACAACTATCATCTGGCCGGGAACCGGTTTGTCGGATGAGCCGAGCGATAGACATAAACACGCAAAAGGTAGCCTTTTTATTGCCTGTTCGACAATGATAAAAGGAATGAATGACGGCTCTCGATTCTCAGTCGGCGAACGTGTTAAGAAATTGTCGTGGACAAACTCTAGAGATCTTGTTCAGTATTATCAATAAGATAAGAATATTTTTAACGCAACAAAATTCAAGCTACTTCGAATTTATAGGTAAACATTTCAAGAAAAAAAAAAAAACAAATTGATGATGAAGTTTATACTCAGCTTAAAATAAAAACAAAAGACGTGCACTTCAATGGAATCCAAATACAGTGTGCATTAAAATAAACTTTGCTTACCTCCACAAACAGCAATTAGTGCATCGGCGACGCTGTCAAACAAACAAAACCGGAACGTAATTGAGGTGGTATCCGACAATTATGAACACAATACGCTTTGAATGTTCTCAATGTAACTTTTTTAAGTTAAAGTTTCACTCCACTTGCAGTCACAATAAAGTGTGACGAAGAGAATAACTTTTCGCATGAACGAGACGTAGTGATGGTGCGATCTTTCGTTCTCAACTGTTGTGTTCGGTTCTTCGCGATCGCGGCGTTTCCGTTCGGAGCGCGCTCGGGGATTGTCGGGTTTGCCGAGTCCTGAGGGTGGGCAAGGAGCTTCCGCTACACCTCGATTGGGAAGCCAAAAAGTTCGATTGTTTCACGACATTTTAATAGACTAATCATGTTGGCTGTACGAGTTTTTGAGGAGCGGCGAAGGATTAAAGGAATGAATTATAACTTTTGACATTGACACTGCTTTAACTAACTGAAACAAAAGAAGGATAATGTCTATAATAAAGTAAGTAAATATTATAATAAAATAGGATCATTAAAATTAAAAGGGAAAACATTACTTCTTTAAGAATAAAACAATCAACAAAACAATAAAGTTGACGCAATAGATGTTGGCGTAGGTATTAGTGCGTAAATGTCTAAGAAAAAATAAAAGAAGCCTAACCATTTGCACATCATGTGCACGACGACAGGGCTTGCGCGTCATTGATCATTGTCATTCCGTCAGTGTTTTGTTTTGCTATCCTGTCTCTGTGTGTCTTTTTTATTACACTCGTAGTTTGCTTCATCTATATAATAAGTATATAAAAATGAAACCCGTTTCGCGTTGTCACGGCATCACGTGTGAACGGCTGAACCGATTTCGATAATTCTTTTTTTTTAATGTTTGTGGAAGTCCAAGGATGGTTCTTACGGAAAAAAATATTAAGAAAATCTCTACGCTAAGGCGGTACGAAGTTCGCCGGGTCAGCTAGTATGAACCTAAAAATAAAGTAACCTATTCGTTATTCATCTGTTTTCTTTAAAGTGGGCCTATTTTAATCTATCTATCATTCCCTCATTCGAAAAGATCGATGCATTGGAATTAAAAAATGTCTTTACATGATATTTTATCCGCTCTCCAGTTATTAATTAATGCAGGATGAAAAATGCAGGAAGCAAGAACGCCAGGTATGAGATGAGCTCAGGGAACAAATAAAAAACTAGTGCAAATTTGAAACTCAATATAGCGAGAGGTCAGTCCACCTAGCGATAAAAAATTGAGCTTTTCCCTGTAGACTTTTGCCATAACAGTTTCGGGGTTAAATACCTGTCGGTGGATGGAAAAGGCACGTGAATATTGAGAAATATGGTAAACTTCCTCTCCCTGACTATGTTCATGTAAATATTTGTGGAAACCTTTACATTTTTAACTATTTAGAAGTTGGAATATAAAGGACTGATTATATTTTAATTATTACTGAGAAGTAAAGTTACGTCAAATATGTACACCTACGTGTCGTATTTAAGATGAAATCGACAATAGGTTCATGTCCATCCACTAGGATAGTTTTATTGAGATGTTATTCAATAAAGAGGTAAAGAACTTCAAAGAAGTAAAATATTTTTGAAAAAAGAATTGCTTAGTTCTGGCCGAAAAGACAAAACAAAAGCGGATCAAAATATTCGAATAAGAAAAGGTGAAAAAAGTCACTATTTTAAGAGAGAAAAAAATATCACGGGCATTGATGCCGGTTCACTGAAAGCTATGAAAGCGAAATCTTTAATGGATACCGCCAGCAAAATGACTGATGGTTCCTGTTAAGGCCGGCTTTAGCTTATGTTTGTATTGTTGCGGAGAAATACGAAACAAATAATGGAACGGAAACGTGATTGTAAGGAAATCTAATAGTCTAACGTGAGGAGGAAAACTGTGTTTTCTCTGTTGCATGGTTTATTTATTACTTTCCCTTTTACGATCACCTTTAGTGTCACTTGTAACATTATATAGCTTAGGACTACAGTCGAATTTTTTAGAATTTAGCAGAAACTTAAACAAATATGGCCAACTGACAATAAAACATTTTTAATCTGTGCACCAGTGAGGCGACAAAACCTCTCGTTAATCGCGAATTGAAATTATTGTAGTACTTACGTACTTATAGAAAGAATTTATAATGCTTTAAAAAGCAGTGCATTTAATAATTAGTAGTACATTCTGTGAAGAAAAAATACATTGTTGATTTATTTAAATCTACTTATTTAAATGCAATCAGTAATAAACGTCAAGTCAATTTGACAAGTCTCACAAATCATCGTCTACGTATTTTGCTAAAATAACCCAATAAAATAATTTGTTTCAAAGATTGATTTCTAACTTGTAAGATCGTGAAAATAAAGTTGGTTTCATGGGCTTGTGAATTAATGTGTATGATATTATGAACACGTAAGTGATTATGGTGTATTTGTGTATGAAAGTGTTTGTTTACATCTCTGCTGGATTCTAAAAAATCAAGGAATAGAACCTAGTTGATACAAAATCTCAGAAAGAATGTTTTTTTCTATTGCAAAAAAGAAATAAAATCCTTTACGATGACGTTTACTATACTCGTATAATAAACCTTGAAATCTAGTTCCTGGTCTGATTTTTTCACTTTGATGAGTCAGAGCTGTTTAATCATCACGTCAGTATGAGAGCAGTCATCTTGATCTCATTAATACTAAAGATTAACAAAGCTAACCATTACACAACTTATGGACTAATCTTTTATGCTTTTTTACATCAGTCCTTCAAAATTGTTATCTGAAGACATTTATAACTAAGTTTAGAATCTCGCAAAATACAAGCCATAAAAAGAGGATTTTGTAACCTTATTTGCTTACTTTTGTACCTAATTCCCCGCAATATGAAAGCAAAAGTTGAAAAAAAAAATGGAAAATAACTTCTATAAAGTTCTCGGCAACGACAGTAGCTGTCAGTAGGTCGGTCACGATCGAATTTGTTTCGCAAATATAATACAGTGTTGATAAATAAATTGAGGTAAAAACTTTGACCGATTTCTGACTTTCGATATAGGATTATGCACATTGCTCTCTCGATTGGAAAATGTAATCTAATTTCATTACATTGTTGGTAAAATTGCTACTAAAAATATACCTCGATTAATTTAATAATGTTACTGAGTGACAAATCTTAACGCAATGCATTATTCTGCCGTTAAGGTATTACTGCTAATAGAGTATACGAGAATTATGATCTTCTGAAATATGAGGATAATAATTTCAAACTCGATCCAAATTTCTATTGATAGATCGATAGATACTGAATTAATTAATTGAGTGATGTATTGTTTGTAAACTTGTTACAGTATGCACGCTTCATTAGATTTGTAAACCAGTACTGTCTCAGCGTATGTTCTTGGCTCAAAGCGTTCTGAGTGTTTTGGGCCAAGTAATATCAACAACATCAACTTGATGAACCGATAATAAGATGTTTGGTGGATTGTAAAAATGATGTACCCAAAATGAAAATCTTTTTCTAGCCAATCTCAATCAATCATCGTGATCTCTTCGCTTAATCAAGTACCTACTTACCTATCATGTGCAAATAAGAAGATACCTAATATGTTTAAGTTTACTAACAAATGGAAGTCTAGAACCAAATGTAACATTATTTAGGATTGGCAGTAATCTGTTTCTAACAGTAAACGATAATAACCACCAACAAAAGAAAATTGTAAATTTTCCGTATCATCATTACAAATAAGCAAAGAATAAGAGCGCAATCTGTAGGTACACAACCTCTACTGAGCCATCAAGGACAATAGGCAATAGAGCCAAGAATGGCAAGACAAAAACGCGGATGCCACATCTACAGGGGATTATGAGCAATTAGTTATTGTGATGAGGCGTTTTCATTTATTACGCTTTGAGAACATAGACAAAACACTCAATTCAACTCTGATATGAGGTAAAAAACGGTAATTAGCTCACTTTTTTCTTTTGTTATCGATATTGTTATAGTTGTTCTAAATCTCGTCGAATTTTCTAAAGCCGTGTGAATTGGATTTATAATTAGTTTTATAGGTGATATTTATATTTATTCTTCTTTGGAAAAGTTTCGCAGAAAAATATCTCCTCTTTCATTATCTAGCCAAGGAGAAACTAGCTTTTTTATATTTGTTGCTGGCAGTTTTGCCAGCAATCCGTTTTTGATAATTCTTTATGGTTTTCTACCTTTTTATTGATATTTTTTTTTGTTTTTGAAGTTTACTCTAGCATTGTCTCTTTTTCTGTCTTTCTCTGAGCAATTAACAATCTATTTGGCCTAAATCTGAGATTTTTCCTTTAAAACTTCTGCAAACAATTACCAACAGGCCTATCCCATCCACAGTCAGTACAGGCCACTCAATCGCGTTTAAAAATAATAAAAGTGTATATCAACAGATCTTTATACAATAGGTACGAGAAATTATTATTTACTTTTGCAAAGATAAAATTGACTTGTTGATTGACAGTTGTATAGTTTAATATGACACTTTATTACCTCACTATTAATGTTTCCTTCTCTGTTTCTAATGAATGACGACAGTCGACTAATAATTGTTTTCTCATGTTACTACAGCACAACATCGGACTACACATTTTTGTTGTGAATTAGAACCTATTACTGAATAAGATAACGTAGTGTATAACTTAACGTGCTGTCGTCTACTTGTTCAAACAGACAATAGGAGGAATCACAGCGCTAATACTAATCCAATAAACATCGATACTCTTGATAGCATAGCATTGTTCTGTTATAGACGTTTTAATTACAGTTCTATACAGTGAAAATAAAACGGCCAGTATCCAGAATATTCACTTGACATAGCCTACAATTAAGCCTGTAAACTGTGTTCGTTCGTTCGTTCGTTTCAGCCAAATGACGTCCACTGCTGGACAAAGGCCTCCTCCCCCAAGGTTTTCCACAATGAACGGTCCTGCGCTGCCCGCATCCAGGCTCTTCCCGCGACCTTTACCAGATCGTCGGTCGGTAAACTGTGTAATTTATTTTATTGAAAATCATGTTTCAAATTATTAAAACCACACATAATTCCTGTTCACTGCTTTTACTTTCTTCTTTGCACAGTTCTTTGAATTACAAAATATTCTATTTCTAATCATCGTTAAAAATCCTGTTTTTGTTTACACCAACAGAATCATTTTTATTTTAAGCGGTCCCCGCAAAATGTGGTGATTAATCAAGAGTCAAGACAAGAGTAAAAAT